GTAAAGACAAAATCTGACATCACCGCGATCCAGCTGTACGGCGCAAGGCAAGAATCCCATAGGGCCTTGCGACGTTAACTACAGCTGCCATTTAAAGGAGCGTACAATCCGAAGAGAAGAACAAAGAATCCAAGGATTTCTTTTATGAGCGCTTGGAGAACACATACGAGCACTGCCCCGTCATAATATATAAATCATGCTTGGCGACTTCAATGTCGGGATGGGCCAGGATGGAACTGAGGCTAATCGTCTTCGCCGGGGCCCGAAACAGAGCAGTGTGCAGTGCTAGGTTCAAGCCATAAAAATATCAACAAAGCCAAACATCGACTCGGACCACTATGTAGTTGCGCTCGCATCTGTGCAGCAAAGAATTTGCGTCCAACAATGCCAAAAAAGCTCAAAGTCGAAAAGTCACAACAGACAGCCAATGTATTCACCACTCGTCTCTCACACCTGCTCTCAGAGAGCACTTTTCAACAAAGCGACACAGCGATCAGTGGAGCCACATTACCCACTCATTACATACCGCGGCCAAAGAAGTAGTCGGATTTCAGCGAAACAGCAGGTAAGAAGAGGAGTGACAGGAAGCTGCAGAGAAAAAAGATGCCGCCTAAAGGACGACGCTGCGAAGGGGCGCAACGCGAGCTAAGTCGAACCGGTATATGGAGTTGAAGAGGGAAGCGAGACGTTGTTGCGGTAATAGGAAGAGAGAGTAGCAATTACACGGCTGAAAAGCAACAAAGCTGCTGGAGCCGACAGCCTCGAATCTGAACTATTCAAGTACGGCAACGAGGAACTGATAAGGTGCATACATCAACTTATGCAGAATATGGTCAGATGAACGCATGCCCGAGGACTGGAACTTAAATGTGCTCTGCCCAATCTACAAGAAATGCCTTGCCGCCATACGCACCCTTTTCTACGCATAAGTTACAAGGTATTATTGGGAAAATTGTGTGAAAGAATGAAGCCAACCGTTAACGAGCTCATTGAACCTTATCGGTGGGTCCGGTAAATCCACCATAGACTAGGTTTTAACTTTACGTAAAATCTTGGAAAAGACCCACGGGAAAACGATCGGCACTTCCGATCTAAGCACTTGCTGGCGTGCACCGATGACATCGCCTGGTAAAAAGAACCGCAAAGTCTGTTCTGCCTTTTCCAGGTTGGATAAGGAAGCAATGCGAATGAGAGAACAGGATGAAGTATTTTCTGTCATCAAACAAATAGTCAGCGCATACGCGTCTTGGCACCAACCTCACTGTTAACAGTTATAATTTCGAGAAAGTAGAATATTTCGTATATGGCGTAGAAGCTTAGACAATTACAACATCCGCTGAAGCAGCTCTTGGAGTATTCGACAGAGATTTTGCGGAAGATTTAGAGGCCTTTACGCTTTGATGACGGCGAGTACCGCAGACGATGCAACGGTGAGCTGTATGAACTTTACAACGACATGAACATAGAGCAGCGAATTAAAATACAGCGCCACTGCTGGCTTGGCCATGTCGTTCGAATGGACCCCCACGCTCCAGCTCCAGTATTCAACTCGGAACCCGCTGGTGATAGGAGAGGAAGACAGATCAATCTCGAAAAACACGCATCCACATAATTTACTTAAAAATGCTGTTATCTTCACCTGCCTAACCCCAAAAAGCTGTATAGTTTAATCAGCGTTTTGTTGCACATTCTCTCATTTCGATTACCGTTCGCGATTTGAGATCACCAAAAAAAAAACAGCGCTCCTGTATTCGCAAGTTTATTTTACAAAGAGCAATAGCAGTTTGGGGCGAGGACTGATCCCAACTCATTATGATAAACCTAGACTCGTATAGTAAAACGTACAAGTCTTTTTGTAGCCAGGTTAGAATTTTGAATGACCAATTTGCAATTTGCAATTTTTTTCCTGAGTATTTTTAGAAAAAGTGGGGAAAAGGGATAACATTCATATCGGAGCAAAAAATGTAGTTTGTGCACATACAATAAAATTTCAAGAGAAATAATTCGGTGGAAAAGTTTAAACCATTAGCTTTTACACGAAAGATACTTTTTAACCGCTCTTTCGGAAATACTAAATAAAAACCGTTTGGGAGGTCACTAGAGGCATGAAATGTTCTAGAAAATTACCTGCCAGAAAATTTCGCTCGGTCTGCTTACAGAAAAAATTTGTTTACAAAGAACGTAAAGGTCCATAGAAAAAAAAAACAAGTATGTCCGCTTGAAATATGCCACCATCTTTTTATGCTCTCTTTTAATAGCATTTACCTTACCGTCAAAGAAGTAATACTAGGATTTTTGGGGAAACATCGTTCTGGCAACTACGATGCTTTTGTTTCAAAAATACTAAAATCATTTGAAAAAATTGGCGTGGATATGTCCTCCAAAAACACTAGTATGTGCATACTCATCTGGCTTATTTCAGCAAGCGAAAGATGCCATTTATTACATTTGAAATAAGGCAATAGTTAAGTAATTGTATTTTATTCTATGTTAAAATAAATGCAGATACAGAGGAAACCATCATCGCAGTGTGTTCGAGGCTCCCGATTATGAAGAAGAGTGAGCAGAAGTATAGTTATAGGTAGAGCCAAGCCCCGAACTATCATCTTTGAAAATAACTAGTGTTGTAAAAGTAAAAAAGAAAGCAGGGCCATTCCATTGTGACTGCTGGAACATTTTACTCACGAATGTGATCAGTTGTGAATTATAACTAACAGCTAAAAATATGTTTTAACATAGAACGCGATAACTAATGTGGAAAATTGCTTTCACAAAAATACCAAACGATTTCTTAGTTTTTTGTAAAAATAGTTTGAATGATTGTGAGCGGTGGGACTCTGAAAAGGACTCTATTTTATCCTTGTGCACTCAGAGATGAATTTTAGCCAAAACACTTAGTCATCATGAACAATGTTTTTGTATTGTAAAATATGAATTATACGCTTTCTTTTCCAATAAAAATTAGGTTTACATAATATTCATAGAAATAAAAAAAAAATATTTAAAGTTGTGACTGGTGTCAAGTAATTATGCATAAAAAAAAGTTTCCATAGACGACAAAAATTACAACTTCTTTTCATTTTTTTAATATTTTCCAACAGTCATTAAAAAAGAGCACCCAGATAAAAAGTTGTTGCATATTTCAAGGTGACCTATTTGCCTTGCGAACTATTCCGGCAAGTAATTTCTAGAACATTTTAACCCTCTAGGGACCTCTCAAATTCCTTTTTTCAGACTTTTTTCAGCTATGAATTTAAAACCAATGTTTCACGTATTTTAAAAACGCTCGGGAAAAAAATGCAAACTTAGCTTAACCACAAAAAAAAATTTGACCTGAGAATGTGAAAATATTGGGACATTTTCCTGGCCTAATCGCCAGTTTCATCAATCAATTTTAAAATTTATCAGACTGTTAAAACTTAAAGTGACAAATTTTCCGACTTGGAATCATTCCGCCCCCAGACAATGAGCTCGAAATTATTGCACAGTGTTATCAATGTCTTCCATTTTTCACTTTTTTCCACCAATTGTATACAGTTAATTCTGAAAAGCTTATGGATTATATAATATTTATCTTACGAACCAAATAACCAAGTAAGTCTTCGTTAAAAAGATGCATTTTGTCGAACCACTTAGAAAATATGCAAGCCTCGCAGGCACCGAGATACCAACTAAATATAGTACTTTTTCGAAAGTACGTTACGTTTTGGGTAAACAGTTTTCATTTCCTCCCAAGTGTCGACGATATTCCGATTTAATTCATGGACGTGACAATGTAAATATAAACTAGTATATTCTTTTGGGTGACCCAAATAATTATCTGTTCATACAGAATTCATATTTCCTGAAAATATGTTTACGATTATTTTGCAATTAAACGATAAATAAATCGAAAATTGGACAAAAATAACACTGCACACAATTTTTCAAAAAGTTGGAGGTGATGGGAATCGGACCACCGGCATTTAATTAAGCTGGTCTAATATGAAAAAGTAGCAAGGGATTTGAAAAATTTGGTTACCATTTCTTTATCAATTTGAAGTCGACGAAGTAAGATCCCAATGAGAACGCATAATTTAGAAACACATTTTCCAAAGTTAACGGAGCGGGAAGGGGAGGGGATTTGAAGAGTTTTTGGCAGAGCCCAATGTTGAGCTGAAAATTTTTTTATGCATATAAGTATAACGTAGGTATTACATTTGGAGCGAAACCAAAAAAAAAAATAAAAAATCATTATACTTGTTTATTTTGAGCCTTAAATTCACAACTTCAAATCGATATAAAAAGTAAATGGGAACCAAATTTAACAAATGCTTTGGTATATATTCATATTTTGACCTCTTTTAATGAATGCAGTTAGTCTCATTCCCATCACTTTTTGAGTGTTGCACTCTGTAATCGATAAATTTAATCAAATGATTAATCACTGCCTTCGCTAACCGGAACACGAGTATCTAAATTTGGTTTAGGTATGGTAATACCACCAGCTTCATCTGAGTTGGGCAAGTACTCTCCAAGCTGTTTGATGCTATTATACCTGAGATTCGTTTAAAGTGCAAAACCGCGTATCAACAAAATGCAAAACCGCGTATGTGAACTTGTAGAACTTATTTTCTAGAGCGTAAAAACGCTCATATTTTAAAATGGTTCTCTTTTTTATAAAGCAATCGCATATCTGGCTAATATATTTCAGGACGAATGGATTAGGATTGAGCCAAGAGCTTACGCGGTTTTGCAGAATTACGATACGCGGTTTTGTACTTTAAACGACGATATGCAAAGCCTGCGAAGTATGCAATGCGATGAATAGTGGAAGTGGACCACTAGTTAGTTTAAACTTCTTAAATAATAACATGATCGCCAGAGCTCCAATAACCGCCCGATGGGACCCAGGTTCGATTCCTGGTCCGACCAACATTCAAAAACTTCTTTCTTCGAACGGAATTCGTTTGAATTTTACAAACATATTTAAATTGATATACATACATGAATACCCTTACCTTTGGATGCGCTCTGCGGGGAAATGCTACCTTTGGGTCGATCTGTAAATATAGAGAAAAATAGCACGAAACAATTAAGAAAGCGCGTTATGCGAAAACAATTTTAATAAATTTTCGTACAAAAATTCTAGCATGTAGTATACATATAGATATGTATATATACATATATGTGCAGTACAAATATGATAAAAGTGTTAAGGCTCTGTTGTGCATACTTGGCATTGCATGTACTGCTATACCATTTTTACGTAGAAATCAAAAACCAACAGACTTCTACGTATGTAGTGCTGTGCGTTCGATAACCGATTACACGCGAGGCTCATTTAACAGATTTCTTATGTGACAGCTCTCAAGCCATGCAAAGCATGCATAACGCAGCCTTTAGAGTAGCTGAAACAAATGGGGAAGTCTATGACTAAACATAAAATGTAAATCCCTGCCTACGTGTGTACTATTCAAACGCAGATATGTTTATGGAATTGTGCTTCTATATTTAGGCAGTCGCAAAAAAGTTTGGGTTACAATAATGTTCTGAACAGAGCTGTGTTACAAAAAATATGCTTTCGAAGCAACATTTTAAATGGCAACACTTAAGCCGCATTAAACGCGAAAATGGCAACAAAGAGCACCACAAATGGCGGTGGCTACAATTCTATTTTTTAGCGGTATTGCAGTAGGCTATGTATCTAAAAGCAAACAAGTTCTGTATAAAATTTTTATTGAAAAAAATGGCAAAAAGAGAGTGAAAAAATTATAAAATAAACCTGATGAGAGGAGAAGTCATAAGATGGGGGCAGATGATACCAACAATTCTTTTGACTTTCTCTATTAAGTATTATTTATTCTATGCATATCACGCGTAGCTCTGTGTTCAAGGCGACAATGCATTGGCAACATTTTAACACAAATTTTTTCTAGCAATCCATCCACCCCAATCAGTGGCAGATTTACCGTAAAGGCAACATAGGCAGGTGCCTAGGGCGACAAAATTTAGGGTCGGCAAAAGTTTAGTTCGAAAAAAATAATAATAATTGCAAGTTAGCTGCACTGAAAGTAGAATTTGTGTTTGTACATTTTAAGACATAAATTTGAGATTCAATTATGCAATCAGAAAATAGGACAACACTGTTGGGCATTTTTGATATTATTTTAATGATAATTTTTAATTAATAACTTATCTAGTGAAAAAACTTTGTTGATGATGGCTTTCTTCAAAAGTTGAAAACCTTTACTCAAGGAAAATACCACTTTTTCATCTTAAAAATTTTAAAAAAAAGTATAGTAAATAACATAAATTTGAATATTACTGTTTATTGCTAATCGTTTAAAAACTGGTACTTTTTAATCAAAATATTTTTTTTTTTCGGAAAAAGGTCGGCAAATTCTGAATTGCCTGGGTGCGAAAAATATTCAAATCCGCCGCTGACCCCAATCATTGGCAGATTTGCACATACATATTTTGTGGAAAATGTTTCATTAGAATATGTCCACATACAAGCTAGGGTGGCCAGATGCGCTGATTTAATCAGTACATGTGCTGATTTTTTTCTATTGCACTGATTTTTACGAGCCCGAAATCAGTACGCAAAATGTACTGATTTATTAAGTTTGTACTGATTTTGTACTGATTTTTACATTTAATAAATACTTTTGTAAATTGGTGTAACTGACATTTACTTGAGGTTTACATGTTCAAAACAATGGTTTTTGACAACTCATACGTGTGAGCAGATTGAAAGCATTAATTAAACTTGAACCATTATTAAAACAGTGTCAGCTTGCAATTGCTTCGTTCCCTAGGATTTCGCAAAATCACAAACTGTTTGGATTCAACCCAACCCGATTTGCAATCACAATTTTCAAAACCTGTCAATACATTTTATTACTATTTTCCTGAGCACAACTGTACATACATACGTAATACCTTTGACTTGTTTTAAAGAAATGAATTTTTATATTGTTATATTGTTAATAATAAAAAATACGCTTCAAAATGAGCTGATTTTAATGGGTTTGTACTGATTTTTGATCCCAACTGTACTGATTATGTCACTATAATATCTGGCCACCCTAATGTAAGTCCGGAGTATGTACAAGTTATGTGCGTCGATTGGCGTTTGTCGGGCAACAAATCGTAAAGGAATATCGTAAGGGAATATTTTTTCCACCAACATCACCGTGTAATGTAAAAGGCGCATAAATGCCTCAGGGACTATTTTAGGTGCAGTAATTGTGACAATAGTCATATGATGCATTTTGCAAATGATGTGGGATAAGGGCTGTAAGCGGATGTCAAATTTTTGAGAAATAATTGAAAAAGTACATAAAGAAACCATTAAAACAGTTTCTTATTCGAGAACACTATAACTAAGAGCCTTAAAAAAATATTTTCAAATGCAGTTATTAAATAAAACAAGTGGCAAATAAAATAATCTCTGTTTACAAAACTACCCAGTCATGGGACGAGCTTAAAGTACACTCGTTTGTCAAAATTTTTTTTTGGTTAATAAATAATTTTTCGAACTAGTTCGCACAATTCAACTTTAGCTATTTTTAATTTTGTATTATACATTGAAAATAGAATAAAATAGTTTTTATATGTTATGGAGTCGATCACGTCGACAAAGATGTTTAACCTGCAGTTAGTGTTAACCAGACATTGAGAAACTGGCCCTACTGCAAAAAACTGATTTTTTTTTTTTAAGGAGATACTACTAAACGGAACTTCTTCGCAGTAATACATAGTTTTTTGCCAAAAAGATAAAGACGAAGTACCGTACCGCGCCTGTTAGAGCACGCCTTATCTTAAAAGTTATCTGTCTTCGCACTTAAATTTAAAGGTGTGTTTCTACGAACATCATCGACAGAAGCCAACATTTAAGGAAATAATAAACTCTACCCAAATTCACTTTAAAATTTACAAGGTGTGAGTCTTCTAAAAATACGAATTAGCACAAAAAGAATCAAATCTACTTAGTGTAATTCACAGCATTAGGGTCAGAGAAAAAGATATGCATTCGTCCTTCGGGCAGTTTTAACCAGTAACGTCATTAAAAATAATTAAAAATCATAAAATTTCAATTATTATTATTTTTCTTTTTTTGTTGTTGTTGTTACTTGTGCATACCAATTTCCATTCACTCTGACACGCTGCAAGCAACTACCCTGGCGCGGCATTGCGTGATGTTGCATAAATGATCGAGGTGCTGCTGCTGCCAATTGTCGACTTCAAGTTGGGATGTGATGATTGCGAGTAATAAAATCAATGCGGTGGCAATGCTAATCGGTGCTAAAAATCTTGTTCAACGGAAAAAGTTGAAAATGAAATTAAATGAAATGAACCAATAGCAAATAAAATGGCCATACATACACTAAGGGAAGGGGGAGGATGAATGGATGCTTCGAAAAAATCTATTAAATTGCTGCAAAAATGTGCAAAATGAAAAATGTTGCGGGGAAAGTGAAATGATTTCACAGCAATGAAACGAACTCTGAATGGAAATATTGCACAACTGAAAAATCGGAGAGAATGAGCAGTTGTTGACGAATGGGACGTGAGCTGTGTGTTGTGCACGCGATACAGAGGCAATGGTGACTGTACAGAAGAACGCTGACAGGTAAAGCGCCGAAATTCAGCAGCAAGCTCGACGATTATTTCCTGTCGGATACGGGCGGTGGGGAAATCGATTTCGAGATTAAAGCTAAAACTAATCAGCGTTGAGTGGACGCAATACACACACTAACGAACGTGCAAGCACATACATAGATATATACGAGCATATGTATACACATGCATACGTACATATATACACATAAATATGTACTATATCTAGAATTAAGAATACAGGGGAACAGGCGTAAAGTAAGTGAGTTGGCAGAAATCTGTTAGCCTAGAGAGCAGCATTGCTCGGCTGGAAGTTCCGCGCGAAAATCAGCCGACCAGTGACATGGTCAGATGACCACAATGCAAAGCGAATGACCAAAAATTACACTGATAAAAAGTTATAGCACAATAATATTTCTTTCAAAATTTAAAAATTTCAAAAATTTTTATTTATGGGTGCTAATACATGCAGCGTAGAGATTATTATAAATGCTATTTTTTTTATATACTAATGGTTGGAAAAATGATGCAGGGTCTCGCTGCAGCAGCATTAGTGGTAAGTTTAATGCCATGTCGACAACTATACTCCACTAAAAGTAACACGATAGTTGTAAAATATGGGCGCTGGTCTCACATTCATACAAATGGGGGAATCATCATACAAAAAATCACTGCAAATTTACGTGAATGGGAACTGAGCTGAAACAGATTATGCCAAAATATACTCGTTGTCCGATTATGAGCCGTAGGACATCAGCAGACCATATGTTTGTACGAAAGCGAGGTTATCATTGTCAGATGGCCAGGAAACGAAGGTATGGTATCTTATTGGAAATAGTGAATAACGAGCAGGAGGTGGGGCTCCCGCTACCATTTTGGTGGAGCAGAGCTCAAATTATAAGCAGTGCAATGAGTGTGTCCTACGAAGAACCTGAACCACATATACTGCATACACAGACAATTTGCTGTATATATATGACTTCAGGAACAAGCCCTCCACTTCTATACTCAGGGTTGAGACTCATTTGATGGAGGAAACGCCTAATGGTCATATTCTCTTCTCTTTTTTCTGACTTAAAGCTCAGTTAAGCATTTGCACATACAAAAATAGGCGTTTGGAACATATTCGTATTTATACTTAACTCAACGCATAGATATCTTCCCATTAAAAATTACATATATTTTTCGGCTCTTATTTCTCCTTCCCTCGCTCTCACAACCAAGCCGTGTGTCACTTTTATCGAATTGGCCTAGTTAAAAGCACACACCACTTTTTTGTTGTGCCGGTGTTATGAATGGTATTTAACACAGATAATACATTGGAAAAGATGAGAGAGAATTAATCCCATTTGAGAAATAACTTATTTTCGTAATATAATTTTACCGAAAAACTCTTATTTTGTTGTTCTTTCCAAAAATAGAAGTTTTTCCATATGTGTGCCAGTCAACCGATTTCTTGGCTTGGTTATTGTGGCCCATGCTTTCGAAAACAATCGGCCGTTTGTTGTTATTTATACAGCTAGGAACGTTAAAAATACTTAAAAAAAAACTATTTAAATACAAAATACAAGTACATTACAAGTAAATTAAACAATTGTATTTGAAATACTTAACATCTCTGCCTACAACAAAGCTAATGCAGTTTTCAGCACCTTCCATACACTTCCTCCCCTTTCGTAGACCTTTTTCTTCTTTGACCGATGATAAAAAAATAAGAATCAAAGCAAAAAATCAAAGCAGAGTAAAATCAAAGAACTTCTAAGAGCGAAAAGAAGGCGGAGGCGGTCTTGGCGGCGACCTCAATGCGGATCAGTGAACTGCGGTCGCCGAGTGCAAGAAAAGAAATGTCAACTGGGTCTGTTTTTTTATACGATTCTGATGCGGCAGGTTAATGGCATGCACATACGCACAAATGGCGGATACAAAATCGGATAATACATATGTATGTACATATATAGACAGCAAGAAGAAGAAGCTGCGTGTTCCCAGCAGTCGTAGCCATCTCCTTGGCTACTTCTGGAGTGGAGGTTTTTGAACCTTGGGCCTAAAATTGTACTGAAATCTGCATATGTTTTACATTCGATTTCCTAGTAGCTAGATGCCGTAAACTAGAATAATTTTATATTAGGCATTAACTTTTCTTCAGACAAGATGTGAAGATGGCGCTTAAATTTTCAATGCTGGGCTACGTTGAATATTTTATTTTATTTTTTTAAGAAATTTTTTTTTTGTTATCAACTCTTTGTACCCTATTCTGTTTCTTCTTTGTTAGTCTCCCCTACCTTCAGTCTTGCCTGCTAATGTTTTCAGGGCGAAGAATAATAGAGTTACCCTGTACGTCTGTACTAAACATTAGTTTTCTTTTCGAACAGTTGGGCCGTGTATACTTTGGATTATGTCGACTTTGGCACCGTCACGCGGTTTTCCTTGGCATTCAAGCAGCCATAAAGCACAGGAAAAAACTACGAAGAAAAATTTGCCTTAGCACCAGGTTTCGATGCGAGTATTTTTTCAATACATATTCATCACTTGGTTCGAATTTGTCGATACCAAAATTAATTGGTATCGCACGAAAAGTATCGAGTATATAATTGTATTTAATCGCTTCGTTTCATCAGTATGTATGACGTAGAGTAGATGAGGCATTGCGAACAAGAAATGTGGAATCAACGTTGTAGTTGAGTGTGAAATCAAAAAATAAAATGCCTCAATTTACGATTGAGTTTTTCTCGCGGTGCACCCCATTGCTATCTATTTGCCAACCCTGTTAAACGAACCGTAATGGAAAATGAATGAAAACTGTAAATAATTGGAAATGTTTTGCCAATGTTGATGCTGCTTTAGTATAGTAGATATTACTGATTACTGTACCATAGAGTATGTACATACATATATTCATACATATACTTATGTATAAGATCGATAGGCATACCTAGAAATAGTGAGAAAAATGTGCACTTTAAAGTGGAAATGGCATGAAATCTCACTGCCGCATCGCTATTTTCGCAGTAGCAGAAAGGCATTAAATAAAATAGCCAAGCGCAAAATTTCAAACAAACGGAAATTGAACATCAGAAGTCGGACTGGCTGGCATAGAATTGGGCCAGGTGGAGTGTGTCGCACTTGGTGATACCAGACCAGAGCGGCTGTTGCCACATATCACTGAATTTGTTCGCGACTGCGTCAGTTCTGTGTAATTAAGTTAATGCAACTGAATTTCGAATTTGTGACAAGCAAAAGGAGTACTGAAATACTTGTACATTTGAAACGAAGAGAAAGCAAAGGCAGGCAATAGCAACAGTGGGCTAGAGATTTCATAACACTGCACTCATATACACACACACATAATGCAGCGAGTTAACAATATGCCATGGATTCATAATAGGGGCACTTTTTTCCGTTTTATTTTGGCTTTGCTAATCAAAATTATCGAATTCTCTAATAAAAGCAACTGCTCAACAAAGCCTTTGATTTTTTGTAGCGCATGCCATAAACTTCATTATCAACTATCGTTTGTGCCCCAAACGGTAAAACGCTACAAAGCTTCGATACTGCACGTTTATTATCTGACAAAGCGTTAAAAGGTCCAACGTCAAAAACACAAACAATAAAGGAGCAACCTTCTTATTTACATACATATTTAGTTTCTAACGAATCCTTGTACAAACATATTTGCATAGTACTAATTTTCGTATGCCAGAGTTGCCACCCGGAAGTATGTATATTTCCGAACAAATTTTCAGTATAGAGAAATTTTTTATCTATATTATTTTAACTTAGCTTGAAGCCATGTAAAATAAATTTGTAATTAATCGAAATGTTAAATGTTCTTTATGCCAGGATTTCAATTCTAGATTCAGCATCTTTAATGTGCCTAACTCCCTTTTCAAAGTAAATAAATTTGTATTGTTTAATCCCACCCTACAGGAAATTAATAACTAATTGAAACTCTCACTTTTTCTCCAGCAACGAACTGATTTACTTAACGTGGCGTTGTCCTAGAAAGCGGTGAATTATCCGTCTCTGCATTTGATTTCAAATACTTCAAAATGCATTTCGCTTAAAGAACTTCAAAGTCAGTATGTTTCATTTGAATACGCTATCGTTCTGCACTTCACAGATCCTTTTTCATATTTCCAAGATACAAATTGTGTCTTTGAGTAAAAATGCTCACTGCAGCTGTTAACCGACTTCAAAAAAGGAGGAGGTCATTAATTTGTCAGTTTTTTTTTTTAATGTATTTTACGGCATAACTTCGGATCACGTTAACCGATTTCTATAATTATTTCAAAGAAAGGTGGTACTTTATAGGTGTTTCGGTTTCGTTTTTTGCTTGAAAATTACTTGTTTCAAAATAGTTTTCCAATTATTTGATTTAAAAAAACACTTACTTCCGTCAGGACAATGAATGACTGAAGAGAGTCATAGCACATAAAAATCAGCTGGTAAATTTTGTTCCATAGGTAAAGTCTTTTAGACCCTGAATTAACAAAACTTTTATGATTCGGCACAATGATAAAAAAGGTTGACTTCCCTCTGTCAGGGTACAATTTTGATCAATAATGCGGATCAACGTTGCCGTTTGTCTATGCTATAATTTGCAGCTCTCACTCTGCCTATTTTCATTGACGACACTTAACGAATTGCAGAAATGGCGCTAAATCCAAATATTGAGTAAATTTTGGAACACCCTATATATACTATCTATATGTAAGTACATGAGAAGGCATCATAGTCGCTTGCATCGCTTTCATCTGTCCTAGTAGTCGTTGTAATTAAAATTGTTTGCAAACAATTTTGTAACACGGTAGCGTACATGCTGTTTGCCCCACGCCATTGTCATTGCCTAAAACTATGGGCCTACTATTGCAACATTCGCTTTATCTGGCGATAGAATTTAATGTTGCTTTTCCCACCGGCTCTGGTTTGATCCATTTTCTACTTATATTTACTTTTTATCAGAGACCCGTGATCAAGCAATTTTAGTGAATGCGCAAATATATTATTTTGTTGTTATTGAGAAGAAAACTCATATTTGGAAAACTTTATTCCAGTTTTAAAATACGTCGGTGTGCATTTGAAATTTTGCATGCAAATGCCATGTAAAAAAAATCAGGTCTCACTAAAAATGTTATAACCAGGACCGAAGAAAATAAGCAAGAAAAAATCCATTTTAAGCGCTTAGATAAGCACTAAAACATTGGTCAATATGCTTGCAAATATGCTCGCAAAACAACAAAAAATAAATACACCAATGCTTCCCGTAGAGACAATCCATTGGTTTTAAGTTTTTATATTCAAGCAGAAATGAAATCGAATTTACGAGTTAATAAAAACTAAATCTGTTTTTTTGTTTTATTATTATTTTCAAACATTTGTTTAGTTCGAAGAATACAAAAAGCCTAAGAAATGGTCAAGAAAAATTTATAGATCCCAATTTCTTAAGCTGTGGGGCGCTTAAGCTTAAGCGCGCTTCCACTCCGCTGCACCTGGGTTCAAACCTTGGTCAAAGCAACATCGCAAAAAATATAGAAAAACGGTTTTTTCTTAACAGCGGTCGTCCCTCGGCAGGCAATGGCAAACCTCCGAGTGTATTTCTGCCATGAGGTCCCTCCGCTTTGTGTGACAACACCAAGGCGCACGCCACAGCTCGGAGGAGAATCTCGGCCAAACACTAACATACATATGTGTAAGCGCCAATCTATTATTATTATTAATTTCTTAAGAAGTACGAAGTTGTTAAGAAATTTGCTACGTTTTCCACCATGGTTTGCTAAAATTTATTTGTGAAGAGTACAAGGCACCCTTGTTTTAAACAGAAATCCACATATGCCCGATCCATTATTTCGTAAGGAAAAATTTGATACAAAAAACGCAATTTCAAACAAAACAATTTTAAAAAACATTCTGGGCAGTGTGGTCAATAGTGTCTACAGTCGATAGTTCTCTAGTATAAAATATGTATAATTAGTATGTAAGTATGTAGGTATCTGATCAAAGTAATAGTTTACCTTTTTACCGTCTAGTTCGTGTGTACCTTGTGTTAGAACCTTGTCAACGCTGGCTGGATCACTGAATGTTATGAAGCCGAAACCTCTGAAAGTGAAAGAAAAAACTACAATTAAATTTACTAGATTTTTTAAATTTATAACATACAAATAGATCTCAAAATTTAAGTGCAATAAATACATGACAAAAGTTTTGAAGTACCAAATTTTTTTCAATCTATCTATGTAGATTAGACCACTTCAAAAACATAAATAAAAAATACTGTAATGCCCCCGCAATCGGACCCAGATTTTAGTATTTGACATAGTAATGATCTTCCATAAATCTCCCCTCTCTGCAATAATTCTAAGAGGTTGCGCATCGAGTGTTTATTTTTTCCATAGGAATAACACGTAATATTTAAAATGAGTTATTCTCTTTTGAGGTCAATATATTTTTCTTGGATCGATCACAACGTCGGAAACTTTAAGAATACATTGATTACATGCAATTTAAGTGTTATGGAGGCTCATATTCTTTAAATTCCCGTTGTCTTGTTTATCGCTTGGTACGGGGTATTTAGATTTTTTACAGTAATTTCCAACAGTTTTCAATGGTAGGTAATTAAATGAGGAAGGATTACTATCTCCCAGCTATGTTAACATTTTTATTCCCGCTTTGTCAAAATATTTCACTACTTCTCCCAAAAAAAAGTTACATTTATAGTCTCTCATAAAAACGAAAGTTACGGTTGATTTCAAGAAAAACCTTAACCAGCCGGATGGCTCCCAGTACGTTAACAGATAAAAAATGAAGATTTGGAATTTGAGATAACAATATAAAGAAGGGAACTGCCACCCAGTTTGAGGATGTGAATGATATTTTATAATATGGCATTTATCAGTGAATCATCCGTCAAAAATTGTGAATATAAGCAAAAAATACGCAGTCGTCTATACTTTTTCTTCAGATAAGTAAAGAAATATCGTCTAGAATCGAAAATAAGTGGCAACCTTACATTATTATCCTAAGGTATAACATTTTACATATAGGGAAGTCATTGTTTAAGCACCTTCTCTTGGCACCCGTGAATAGTAATATTTTACCTTTTTTTCTAAACAAAAAATTAGACAAATATTCGATTCAAAACAAATGGCAACCCTACTTAAAATATTTATTGAATTAGGGACATTTAAAATATCTTCCATTTGATACCCATATTATGATATTTTAATTAATTTGTAACTTATATGAATCTTTTCGGTTATAGTGCCTATTCAGATAACCTTAAAATCCATAACATTATCTATATACAAAATTGCATCAAAATCGTTATAGCCGTTTTCGAGAACCCTATAGATATATACAACATACATATATACAAGAATTGCTCGTTTGATGCAATATAAGAAAATAATAACGGTATTTTTGGAATTTTGGGGAATTTTTAAAAAATGGGCGTGGCACTGCCCACTTACGCCTACATGAGTGTATCTCGGTAACCGGTTCATCAATATCTACCAAACTCGACAAATTTATCACCCTTGGCGCCGGAAAGCGATATCTTTTACTTGCGCCGGGTATAAAAAGTTCGGTCTCGCCCGAACTTATACAGTTTATTTTAAAGATTGAAAATTTGAAAAGGACAATCAAGTGTTGCTTGATATTCTCAAATAATAGAGATATGCGCTGATCGTTTCATTTTTTTTAAATATTCGTTATTCTGCATTTGAGAAGAATTGTTTTTAATCTTTTCAATAACACCAATGCCTTCCCGTAGAAGCAAACC